TAGAGTCAATCATACTCAGAGATCTCTCACAGAAACGAAGAACTGAATACATGTTCTCGCTCAAAAGTGGACCCTGAACATTTACCATAACACTATAAGAAAGGGATTGACAGTAGCAGGACACTGCTGGGGGGGGGAGAGGAGGGCACATAACATCAATAAGAGTACCTGATCTCACCCAAACTCTACCTGTATGATGACCACTTGTATACCTAATTCTGAATTGTACCCCACATCTTTAAAATTAAAATAGAATAAAATACAATAAAGATAACAGTCATTGCTTCCTCATAATGGAAAGTATCCTAGACTTGAAGTCCAATTCTACATACCCAACACTGCATATAATCTGCCCAGTCCTGGGGTGATAAAGGGTTACTCGCCTCCCTTGTTCTACTCATTGTAATTCTAATGCAGGGTCCCTTCTTTTGACATGCTGCACAGACCAGCTCTTATATTCAACTAGATCATTAGCCTCCCTTTTATTTAAGTTAGTATCTGGCACATAGGTGGGAGAGAATAGTGATGGGGAGGGTATTTTCCTTAAGAAAGTTATGTCCACTTCCATTCTATTTGATCATGTTGATGACACTTTTCACCCAAGTCCCTTCTTGATTGGCAGAGCTCACTCAAGAGGAATCTGGGGAACCTGTGGGAATCTGTGGTCCCCTCAGTATATTTTATTTGGGGAATTTGTTTGCATTTACTAATCACCATTTGGTTAGCATGTCTCTGTCCATGGGAATTGGAGAACTAGGACAAACTCATAGCTTATATTTATGTATTTTTTTAAATAAACAATCCTAGCTCTGTTTTAAATAGACAGACATAGCTTTCATCCAGAGATAATTTAGTCTTCGTGAGAATTTGTTTTCCTAAGAATAATAAAATCAATAATTTATAAATAAATAAATAAATAACCAATAAATAAATGGCAGAAACCCTTACTCGTTTTTTCCTAGTGACAATGCTTCTCTCCTTTGCCAAGCTTGAGTCAGGCTCCTCTGAGTTCTCTTTCTGGCTAGTTTGCAACCCGGGCTCTGTACTTGGCCTGTTTTCATCTAATTTCAATCCCGCTAAGCCCGTTTAGAGAAAATTCCTTCACCCCTGGTGTCTGATCACTGTCGATCTCAGATTGAATTCCTCATTCCCCCCCATCCCCCCGCAAACAGCTTATGCTGGTCCATCATCAGCAAGAATCCTATCAGATCAGTTTAGCCACAATTTCCCTAGCCTTGACGTTTCCTCTTAATAATTTTACATCCACTGACACCCCCTACTCCCACTCCTCCTTGGCTATAAATTCCCACTGTTCCTTGTCGGAGGTGGAGCTGAACCTGATCTCTCTCCCCCACTACAAGACCCTGTTGTGATATCCCACAAACAAAGCTGCCTTACCGTCTTTAACAAGTGTCACGAAAGATTTTACTTCAACACTAGAAGTACAATTGGGCTGCATTTTTCAGCCCTCTTGCAGCTTGGTGTGGTTGTGACTCAGTCTAGAGGTAGGTAGGAGAGTAAAAGTGATTTGTGTTGTTAGCAGGCCCAGCCTGTGAAATCCTATCAGGTAGAGAGACCCGAGCCTCTGAATAACGGGATGAAGTAGTTTTACTACAATCTGGAAAGTTTCTGGCCTGATATGTGAGTGGGAAATATACGTTCATTGCTAGAGGTCTTTATCTGTTTGAATTTTTTGTAACTGCAGTCTAGCCTAGCCCAAATATGAAATATAAAGCCTTGAAAATGAGTGATGCTGTAGCAAAAGCCTAAACTCTCTGGCACTAGCTTAGAGGTGGGGGTTTCTGAGATCAAAAAGAGCAGGGCTATGATAAGTAAAACTGTTATAGACTGAAAAGAGGCCATTTTGGTCATATTAGAACAGTCATTTAGAAAAAACTTCAAAGCCTGTATTGCTTTTTTTTTTTTTTTGAGTTGGTATCTCACTCCACTGTCCAGGCAGGAGTGCTGTAGCACCCTCTTGGCCACCACAGCCTTGACCTGCTGAGCTCAGGCGATCCTTCTGCCTCAGCCTCCCAAGTAGCAGGAACTACAGGCATGTGCTACTACGCCTGGCTAATTTTTTGATTTATTGTAGAGATGAGGTCTCACCAAGTTGCCCAGGCTGTTCTCAAATCTGTGGGCTCAGGCAGTCCTCTCACCTCAGGCTCCCAAAGTGCTGGGATTACAGACTTGAGTCACTGCACCTGGCCATTTGTATTCTTTTGTAGAGGAGTTGGGTTAAATGTAAATGCTGCCTGAATTTAAAATACACTTCGCCCTCCCACTGTCCTCCACGGTCTCCCCACCCCACCTAGCATGCGTGGCCTTGGCCAACTGGTCAATTTTATCTAGTAAGCCACTGCTGGTGCTAAAGAAGAAACAGCTGGCAAGTCAGACCACCTAATAATTAGGAGAGTAGTCCAAGGACAGCAGGAGTGTATCTGAAATCCTGGTATGGGCATTGCCCAGTTCCCTTCCATCTGTGAGTACAAGGATGTCAGACTGTTATAGGCCAGAGCTCTGGGAATAGGAGATTGTTACAGTTCTCTTTTAATGTGTTTAAAACAAGTTAAAGCTGTTGTTTTAAATGCTATGACCTCCCTGTCCTTCCAAATGCTGCGATTGTCTGTCCCTTCCTCTGGAAGGCTGTAAAAAAAAAAATTATAAATTCCCCAAATGTTATCTAAAACGTCAGCATGACCAGGGAACTTTGTGTCACGTCAGTGGTCCTGTATCAAAAAATGTGAATGTAAATCTTAAATCATGCTAAAACTGCATGTAGGCTTCAAACCTGTGATAGGTGAAAGGCTATGAATTTGGGGTATAAATACTGGAATGAATTTGTGTTGCTTTGAGTGGGTTTTTTGGTAAGGATGCAATCCGTCTCCCTTTAAACTTTTCTCCGTCTCTGCATCCCTTCTTTGATTGGCAGGGAGAGAAAGCAGCTGATTGCTGCTCAGACTGTTTCAAAACCATTGACCTTGGATAGCTCGGAAGGCAGATCGAGTGCTCTGAGTCTACAGTTCTAGGGGAGTGGTTGAGGGAAACTAGAACATTAATGTGTGTTGGCTTCTCTCTGTATATGGAAAGGTATTACAAGAAGGTTTAGAACAGACCTGGGTGGTTTGTAGACAGAATTTGGAGAATGCCACTGAGTTCTGTACTTCAAAAAATAAAATAAATACAGGACTGAAAAAAACAGAGCAATGGAGACCTATTAAGACTTCTCATTTTAGCAAAGGACCGAGTCCTGGGGCAAAGATCAGAGTCAGAGCGCTTCTTTCCTCTCCATCCTTCCTTCAAGTTCTGTAGCTGCCATTAAATTAAGAGACAATCATAGGGACAAAGAAACAGGGCAGGCATAAAAATTTTATCTAGAGGAGAACCTTGGTTTGGATGCTCACATGGAACTGACTAGAAGCAAATGAATCAGAAGCCTTTTGTGTTCGAAGTGGGTTGTTTTGTCCACCAACAAAGATAAATATGATCTTTTCCTGAAAAAACCCGCGAATCAAAATTAATCTTCAGCCTACAAACATGTACTGGCATGGAGGGGACTGTGAAAACTATAAAGCTTCAAAGGAGGGCATATTTCCTAACACCCAGTTCAGATATAGCCATGGAAGGTAATGAACAAGGAAGAACTTGCCAGCAAACAGAGACAAGTGCCATATATGGAGCCACGGACAATGATTCCTTCTAGGGAGTTGGGCTAAGGCAAGGGCAATAAACCAGAGAATTGCAATGTACCTTCTCTTTCTTTCATGAGCATGTTAATTGAAATTATGCAAGTATCTTGTCTTTGCCATCTATCTATCTGTCTGAATATGCATACACACACTATATTTATGATGGGGAGGAGGTGTAGAGGGGAAGGAAAGAGACCACTTGTGTTTTGGTTCCAAAGTAACCAGGTGACTGATGGAGATGTCTGCACATAACACAGGTATATGGACTTGAGCTGGATGTTGTAACTGAATGATACTCTGTGTCATCTCCCTTGCAGAGGGACCCGAAGGCATTCTACTAGTGGGGAAAATTGTGTAAATCAATATTTGGCAACCAGAAAGGAAATTGTGGCAAAAACTGCTAACAAAATGTAGTTTTCAGCCTCATCAATCAGGCGTTAAGTACCTTCTGCCTTGCCTATTTCATAATAGTATCAAAGATAGATAGTACTTTAGAAACCAAGCCACAGAAAACGTACGAATCTCTTTCTTCTCTCTGCTTACATTTTTCTTACCTTTAAAATGAGGACAGCAAATTTTCATAGGCTCATTAAGATTTGGTTAAGAAACACACACACAATTAATTCTACAGCGATTCTCATTTAAGGACTACACAGTAAATATTTCCTATGTCTTTTACTTGTTCTCAGCTCTCTTAAAGTCAGGGAAGTCGTTCTCAAGAGTGGCATGACTTCTGAGCAGCAGCTAACAGTAAGAAGACAAGGGCAGACATTGAGAACAGCGCTGCGGGTGAACGCAGGATGAAGACTCCCTTGAGAACCGCCAGAAATAGCTAGAAATGGATTTGTAAGGTTGAGACACGGTGGTTATCGGAGGAGAGGGCCACCTCATCGAACAGTTGGGTGGAGCCCTGACATTCATTCAGTGAGCACTCAACTGGCATTTAATTACGATGGCGATATAATCCCTTTTCTCTGTCTATCCTTTCGGGGAAGCAACTAGATGGTCGTAAGACAGATGAAGTATGCCTTTTCTATGTCGCATACATTCGGAGTACATACAACTGCAGCAATTGTGACATGTGCTCTTTGGTCTTGTAAGCGAATTAGAGATTTCATGTCATGAAAACAATTCAAAATTGGCCTTGCCTAATGCTGGTCAGCAACATCATCTTCGGCCATAAATGTAGTGCATTATGAACACCCCATTCACTTATTTATTTGCTCCTCTGTTCTTCCATCTGTCATTCATTCATATTCAGTCATTGTCAGGCGCGATTTGGAAAACAAAATGTTCGAAAGAATCTACAGACTCTTTTTATGATATAATTTATTGATTTAAATATTTTATGAGTGACAGTTTGGACACTTTTAAGATAATTAAGTGCATGATGTAATTAGACAATATTGTGATGAATTATGTAAATATAACACACAACTATCATTTTCACTTTGTTTTATAAGAATCTCAGGTTTCCATCACTCATTTTTCATATACAAATTCACCTTGTTCTGCAGTCTGTAAATACAAAGATATTTTGCATCATGAAACATGCTATTTACATTGTATATGATTTAGAATAATTACAAATAAAAGAAAGAGTAAAAATGGTGTTACATGAAGAGCAAAGAAAATACAGTGGATATTTATAATCTTATAAGTATTATACTTTTACATGTACTATTATTCTTAAAATTGTATTGAAATGAGGCATATTTTATAATTTCAATCAGAAAGTTGCTCTAAACTTGTACTACTGGATAAAAATATTTTAAATTATAACATGAAACATCAAATGAAACCTCTTAAAATTAATGATACAGGTTTAAGAGATGCATTCATTTAAAAAAACAAAACAAAGAATAGCTCGACATTTCAAAATATATGCAATTTAACCATGCCCTACAGATATATTAGTATATTTACCTGATATTATTTGATGACATTACAATTTAAGTTTGTAATAACTAGATTTTTTTAAAAGAAATTATTCACAAAGTAAATCTGATAGCAAAAGAGCAGATAAACAATATAATTTACATTGCAAGCCAAACCAAAAATTTAGATCCAGGAAATTGCAGCAAATTAGCCAAAATGTTAAAGTAATGCAGATTTCTGGTTAAATAAAAATACCCCATGCAGAGGAAGCCAATGAAGGCCTAGCACATTATAACGGTGTGTTTTTATTAAGTGAGCTGGGAAACCTATTTTTTATTATATAGTGCCTGAATGTTCGATAGAAATCTACTGGTTGTTTAATTTATGCATTGAAATGAGCAAGCTTAAATTTGATATCTAAAGTACTGTTTGGCAAATGAGACGCTTTGGTTTTTTTTTTAATGGCTACTCACAGTTGGCAAGTCAGAATTCAGGTAGGGGTTGATTTTGAAAGGAAGAATGATAATTATTATTTCTGGAATGCACTTAATCGGTACATTTAAAAAGCATAATGCAACAGTTTCATCACTTGATTACCGAAGTTATAATGTAGCTACAGGCAGCTGTTATAAAACTTTAGACTTTTTCCAAGGCAAAACTCTCAGGAGGATTCTTTTAAATAAAGAAAAAGCTGTTCATCCAACTCTAAGAAAAATCAGAAAGTATTTCTCTCCATGGACCATTATTCTATTTGAACCTAACCTGACTTTCCCTGTAGTCATAACCTGCCATGACGATGTGAATCAATTTCTGCATAGCCGGAATAATTTTTGCTCCAAATTCTTGAAGGAGACAGTGAATTAGGAGCTTGTACATTTCACAGATCTGGGCCACAGATATCCACTCAGTGGAAAGCAGAATAAAAGGAAAAATGGGACTGTGGTTCACAGCTGTTCAAATTTTAACTTAATTTCTCCTGTTTTTCTCATCCACATTTCTGCTATATTTACAATCATTCAAAAAATATTCTCCTAAAGGGAGAAAAATGCTAAAGGTATTGAAAGTCAAATTTCTTCATCTGAATAAGTATTAAGATAGTCTACCATTTTAAGATAAAGGCTTTCTTAACACTGAAAATCACAGTCAAAAAAGAAATCAGTATTTTCATAGGTCCCAATTTATATGATAGCTGCCTTTTTTTTTTATCAGTTTCAAAATAGATTTATCAGTCTGAAATAAATAAAAGTTGACTAACAGAAATTCTTCTCTTTTGAAATTTTAAATTTTTCTGAATATTTCATACCCTTTCCTTTGACTATCTGATCTGTTAGAGTTAAGACCTCTGAGGTGTATAACAAAAACTTCTAAATAAGAAGTGGGAACAAAAATTCAAAGGCTATTTAACTTATTGAAGCACATCTTTCAAGAGAGAAAAAAACTATGATTTATATATGATTTTCTACCAGTGAACATAAACTTATATCATGAAGACAATTGTTAAGTGGTTTGAATATTATACTAGTACACTAACTTCAAAGACATACAAAGAATAAAATGTTCAGTTTTGAAGATTAAAGATTTGTTCAAATTATTACAATGCCAGGGGGAATCACCTAAAATGGGAATCCTCTTCTGTCTTCCTCATAATTACTCTTAAATTAAATATTTGACCTATTTTCCCTTATGAATAAAATACTTTGCTAGAAATAATTTAATTTTTCCTGGAAAAAAAAGGGGGGGGGTGCTTTGGATTGTGGCTTGCAAATGATTGATCCTTTGCTATATCATAAAATGATCTAAGCTGTGCCTTTTTGTATTTAATAACATGATAATTTGTTAATTCTGGTGAATACTCAAAACTGTAGTTAAAAACAGTTATCTGAATATAGGTTAAAACAGCAAAAGCGTAATGCTAAGAAATATGGAATACACTGTATATTGCTTTTTCAGTGAAGTAGACTTAAAAATTGAAGGCAAATGCTTTCAGATCCTCAAAAAAGAACCCCAAACACTATACTATGACAAGCTGAGTTACATAGGGGTGCCCAGGAAACAAGACAGTGCATCAGTTATCTCCAGACAAAGAGCTGGTAAAGTCAAGTCACATTTGATGTATCCACCTTATTGGAAAGTAGTTTTCAGAAAACAACTTCCCTACAAATAGAAAATTGTCTTTTTAATTTCAATCTTTAGCAGTGTGGTACATAAAAAAATTGAATTTGAAAATAAGAGGATTTTTTTAGAAATTAAGACATTTGTTGGGGCTAAAACTAGGAGATTGTCCAAAAAGATTGACCCTGATACTTCTTGAGAAAGCATTTAAATTCAGCGAAAAAGAACACCCATATATATTTTTATAAATCTAAGTTTCTCTTGACTGACAAAGCCTCTGAAAGTCAAGGTCCCAATCCTCTCGGTCGCTTCTGTCCCCAAATGATCTATGCCTACATGCTCACCTTCTTTTCCTTATCTCACAAATCCACAAAGTGTTCAATCATGCAAAAGTGAAAAAGGGAGGTCCCAGTCCAAATAGTAAAATACTATTGTCATGTGCCTTAAAAGATCTAGAAAGAAATGAAAAAAGAAGTGAGGGAAAAAGGGAGTGAGGGAGAGAAGGAGGGAAGGGAGAGAGGGAGGAAGGAAAAGAAAGAATGAGAAAAGATCTAAGAATGCTAACAAGCTTTAAAAGTCTCACCAGTTCACTGCACATAAAACTTCTATATATAGAATCCATTCACTTTGTATTCACCAAGAATTTTACTCAGAAATAATACCAAACTCTGTTGATATTCAAGTTATAGCCACACTTGATATTTGGACTCTTGCATGGTTTCTCATTAGCACAAAGACTATACCAATGTTTAATTAGATCATGCAGCAAATATTGACTGAAGACATAATATCAAATTTTCCCAACAGAAAACAAATTCTGCACTGGTGGGCATCTATGATGAGAGAAGCTCTTTTGGTCCCTGTAAATAGTCACGGTAATTAGCATATTTATTAAGTTTCTTGTTTGTTTTATCAAAGTTTTGACCTGCTGAGTTTTATGATATTCTGTCACCTTTTGACGTTCTGTTAAATATGAATACCATGTTTAAAAATCTATAATCGTTATCTTGACTGTTTATTTTCAGATTTCTTTCCAGTTCACAGGGCTGGACTACAGACATAGTTTTAATTAGGCAAATTTTGATTTTTGGGGGGGTCTCTTTTCATGCTTTTACTGGTGTCCCTTCATTACATTCCAGCTGAGCCCAACTAAATATTTCATATGTGCACATAAAATGGAACACCTCCTATAGTCAGGTAATCATTTGCATCTTCACTGGAGATTTCTTTTAGACGAAAAAAGTGTTTTTAAGGATCAAAAGAAAAAGAAAGCAATGAGCACCCATTATTCCAGGTCACTGAGTTATATAACAAATAATAGAGATGGATTTTTTAAGTGCCTGGTGACATACTTGAAACAAATTAAAAAGGCAGAATATTCTGTCTGCCACTCAGTAATAATTATTTTTATATAAGAACACAAATTAATTTTTTAAAAAACTCCCTTGAATTGCTTTAGACAATTATACAGTCCACTAGTTTATTGAGACCTTCCTGGCTAGAGTTAGATGTACCATCAGAGATAATTTCTTCTTTTTAAGAATACTTTTTAGTCAAAGAAGACAAAAGCAATTTATCTGAGAGTCCAAGCCAAGGTTAGGCTTTGGTTTCAATATAGTAATTTATACCAATGCAGTTCAGAAGGAGAGTTTCATGTTGTTGATTAATTAACTGGCTGTCTCAATATTTCATTTCACTTTATGGAGATGTTAACCTAAAAGAGGGTGGCCTTTCAAATGGTTATACACAAATATATGGATCCAGCTCATACCCATCTTGAAAGAAAGTCACAGTCATCTGCTGGCCTTGAAAGGAATGCTTCCTGCAAGCAATACAAGTAGAATTGCTCTAGGAATTAAGGTTTCACCGGGTATGGAAATATATAATTTCCTGTTAATCAGAGGTGATGTGGCAATATTTATATTTGCTGTTTATTATTTGCTATAAATTGGCTTTGACTTAGATTTTATTCTGATAAGTTTGAGATGCTTTGTTCTATAGACAACTGTGAACAAGCCTAAATATAGCATTATTTGATTGTTATTCTTAGCCCTTATTACTAAAATATTAATATTTTAAGAAAAAGAATACGGTCAAACTTGCAAACCATGACTCAATGCCACGATTTATAAGTGGCATCTATTTCTTCTGTAACAAATGGAAAATATGGGTAAAAATCATTGAAAGGCAATTCATAATTAGTGTTATCACCAGAGACTAAAACCCTAAAAAAAGCAGAAATACAATTCATTTTCCTTCTCGTTGCTGAAGAATTTGATACATTTAGAAAACTTTCAAAAGCCTCCAACATTCTGAGTTTTGGATAGAAATTAAGCTGACTCAGGACGATACATGTTTATCCTAAATGATTTTTCTACTTGATAATTCTAATGAAAAATTGTTGAGGTTTGCTTCTTCCTTTTAAGGTTTCTGTTGTAAACAGACTTTGCATGGATTAGCCAGTTACATATAAGGGAAAGATATTGGAATGATGGCAAGAGACTATCTAATTATTTTTAATTTTAGAAGACTGGGAGCACATCTTCATGTCTCCCACAGAATACTGCCAAATGCTGTGGAGTGATTCTCTCCCCAGGTAAGTGCTCTAGTCCTCTCAGAGATGGATAGACATCTTTCTACTGTAAAGCTGAATGCTTGTTTTGCCAGCAGCCAAAGCCCAATCTGAGAAGAGTATGAATAAAACTATGAAAAATAGTGCAGTTCCCAAAATGATTTTCCAGATTTCAGAACTTGAAATAGAGTCTGTTATTTATGATTCAATTTCTCGACTAAAGAAAGATGTAACTTCTATAATGACAGAACAATTTCTTTAAAGATGCAGAAAATGGAATTATATTTTTCTCACTGAATGGTAGCTCATCCAGGCATGTTTTGAAAGGAAAAAAATGTTTTGTTTTAATATCTCTTGCACACTGATAGTCTGTTTTCTGAGCTAATTTTAGCAGGCTTTTCCGTGGCATATGGCAGAGCTGGTATTTGGCCTTCTTTGTTCCTTCACCCCAGATGTTCTGACACGCTCATTTACCTTCATCACTGTAACCAAGACTAGTTCTATCTGCCACCTTCAGAGAGACGCTATTTATAGCTCCGAGAGCTTCTGTCCCAGCTTCACTGAGATGTGCGGCTGCTGAGAGGTTGGCACTACCTCCTCAGAAAACTAAAAATGGCTTCTGAAGGTTTTCTTTTTCTTTCTCTTTTTAAAAAAAGAATGACCAGCAGTCAAATAAATCATTTGGCTTTCACTACACTAGAGGTGTCTATTGTGAAAATTACTTCTCCTTTAAGAGTCTCTATACCCTTCTGAAAAAAAAGATTAATTTCTTTGCTCGATCACATCTAAAGATCCCGCCCACCCCACCTACTCCATCTGTCCCTTTGTCCCGAGTCTGATATATGAAACTGCCAGGCAGCCAAGTACAAGGAATTATCTTCAGAAAGTGAGGGGGTACAAGGAAACAATTTTGCACATTTCTGATTATACCCCAATTATTACTTTCCTGTCTTACTTAGGTTTAATGACATTTAATAAGCCACAGTAAAAACATATTAGGTAGAATCCCTTTTTTATCTCCAGTAGAGAAAAGACTACAGAGGAAGACTGAATATAAATAAATTCCTTCATTTAAAAAGATATGCATCAAAAGAATTTTAAAAAGCTATTATTCAGGTTTGTCATTTTGTTTTTTCTTATCTTTTCTGTTTTTAAATAATAAACAAATAGTACTTAAGTCTAATGTTAAGAGTGATCTGATCAGCAATTAGATGGATTAAATGAGAGAATAAATTTGGTGTAATTTAATTGATTCAAATGAAATAGTTTCCATTGCTTATTAACACTCAAAAGCATTCTTATTAAGGGTTTAAGGATCCAATGATATACAGTCTGATAATTGTCAAACCTTCTCAGTGAATCAACAATCCTGTTTGATTTTGATGGGGAGATTTTCCAAATTGTAGTCAAGAAGGTGCTAGGCATAGCTATGAATAATAGAAAGATAAAGACAAAATACTAGCACACCCTCTCACCATTCTATGTTCAGAATCAAAGGAGAGTTTACATAGCTATGAAATACTAGGAGCTGTAATCTTATTTAGATGCTTAGGAATGGATCCTAAATTTATATGATAAATAATAATCTGATGTTTAAATATTGTTCATTGTAAACAAAATTACGGGTTGCTTTTAACTGTAATCCTAATACTATATTCTAAATGATGGATGAATAAACCTAACAACAAAATAACTGATTATTATTGACTATGCCACATTGGATTAAAATTATATTTTAAGAAGACTAAAATATGACTTGTTAATTTTAAAAGTTACAAGCTTTAGTTTTTTAATATTACTGTAGAATCACTTCCAGACATATATTAATTACACTAGAGATGACTTTCAGTCAATCATATTCTGAAGTCAAAATACTATCATACTTACTAAATATTTGTGTAGCCGTCATAGAAAACAGTGGTAATGAGCTCTTTCTATCTTTACTCTTTCATCGTCTACAATCTTACCAAACCAACACTTGAATTAGGTTATTTGTCCCCAAGACCCATGTATATTTTTGCAAAACCTACTTCCTCAATCACTTCTTCTAACCTACACTCTACTTTCACTCATTTATTCATCTTTAACTTCCTCCTTACTATTAAATACTACAAAGATGTGGGAAACATTACAAATGACACACAGATCTCTTTGAGAGGAATAGAAATAATACATGATAGGTATTTAAAAAATTATACACCAGAAATAATCTGATGGGAATATATTAATTACTTTATAGCATGTTTGCAAATGAGTAACTTCTGAGTTAGATTAAGCATGTCATTTGCTCAGATTTTTTTTTGTTTGCAAATGAATAACTTCTGAGATAGGTTAAGCATATCAGTTGCTCCGATATTTTTAAGCTGAGTCATCACTTGCTGCTCATTTTGCTATAGAATAGTGAGTATCTTTAAAAAGCCCACACCAGCTGTATTATTGCTTGTATAAAACATGTCATTATTTCCCGAAAGGTTCCATGAAATGCACAGAAGTGCACGTTTCATATGGCATCATCACCATGGCTTAAATTATTGCTTGAAAGGTTGTTATAAGGTATTGCTAGAAAATCACTTTTAGATGAATGTACAATTCAATGTGAAAAGTACATAGTGAGACTAAGTATTAGGTTGGTTCTTTTCACAATATGAAAATCAAAGCATTCAGAAGTAAGGCTGTCACTTCGACATTTGCTTCTGTGTCGTGAAGTTCATAGTTTATACCTCGGTGGTGAGGATCAGCAAATGTTGTGATACACTGCACAGCTCTGGCAGTAGCTAAGAAAATGGTACCGTATCTGGTATGCCTAATAGCCCTATAGTGAGCAATATTCATCCCTCATGCTTATCAGTGTTGACATCTGTCTCTAATAAGTTTGAAGAC